TTTTTAAAAAAAAAAGGTTTAAACATGTTTCAATTTTTGAAATTATTAAAATTCTAAGGTTATGGTAAGCAACTATACTTTTAACAATGTCTAAACCTTTCAATATTATTTAAACCTTTTGACATTATCTAAACCTTTCGATAGTTTTGATTTTTAAAAATAAAAAGTTAAAATGTCTAAATAGGTTTCGACTTTTGACAATTATCAATTCCCTGAGATTTTGTTAAGCAACTATAGAATGAGACTTCTGTTCAGAAATAAGTTAGGATCTAAGTTTACTATTGGACGCTGATACTCCTTTTTCCGCTCAGTGTACTTATATACTAACTTTCTATTGAGATTCCTAAGTTCAGCCTTAAAGAGTAGAATATAATTTCTCTTTGAGCTCTTGCTCATATGCAGTACTAAGCTGACGTAATCTCCCTAGGATCTGTCCAGTCAGAGGGAACATTATTTTTTTATTGATATCTTCCAAGGTGTATACATTATTCATGGCCTTTTATTGACTTAATACTCAAAAATAAAATTATTAATTGGGACGAAGAAATCGAAAGCATATATGATTTATATTCTGAACTCTCTAGCAAATGATGACATCTGGTCAATAAAATTTTGAGAAACATATTAATTCTGATATTGTGATTACTACTGGTATTCCTAATGCTTCTGATACTTCTAATATACTGTGTAGTACTATTATTTCAGATAGTATTGATATTTTTTATTAATTTCACAGATAGTCCACATAGAATAAAAAGAACTAGTCCTTCTGATACTTTGCATAATACTGGTTCTTTGTATAGTTTTGATTAAATATATAGTGCACATAATACACATAGTCCACATAGTGTTAATATTTTTTATATGTATTTTTATAATAGAAATCTGATAGACTATTAATATGATTAACCTATCACCCAGAAGGTATATGCGTTCTGATGTTACAAAATTATCTTCTGCAGATTATGAAAATATCATGCAATACCGAGATATGAAATTCAAGCCTCTAAAAGAAATTAAGAAAGAAATTTCATATATCAACTTCTCGTTTATATCAGATTTGGAGAGGGCAGGAAATAGGTAGGGTTGAATAGAACTATTCAGCGGTTTCACTTTCTTATTTAAGTATAAATACAATAGATAAACAGGATGTACTAGAGGCCAGCGTATTACTAGACAATATAATCTAAGATATTTTATTAGAGTGTAATACTGCTTCCGGTAATAAAAAAAAGACTGGAGGGATTGAAGGGAAGAAACCCAGGTCCAAGTCTGTTACAATCTCTGTATCATCTATCAGGGAAGACAAAAGTATTGCACGATTTTGATTTAGATATTTTAGTTAATTTATCATATGTAACTGGGCCATATTTTTTTAGTAACATATTGGCTGGCTT